CATGTGTGTGTACAGAAGGTTCCATGTTTCTTACACTGGCACCCCAATTAAAGACAAGCCTGGCTGTCATCACTCAGAAAAACAAAACAAAACAAAACAAAAAACTGCTTTCTTTTTTGCCCTATCTTATCCAAAGAGATATTGGGAAACCTACTTCATGTTACCCTCTCTAATTAAAACTGGTTTGGGGACTTCACCACACCAAATTCCAGCCGTAAAATTGGGAACATTCTGGGAAATTTGGTGAGTGAGGCAAAAATATAGGGACTGTAAACCCCTGGGTCAGAAGAGTTGGGAACATTTAAGGTAATTTTAATATTCTGTTGGAATTATAGTGGCTGGGTAGAAAAGAGTAAGAGGATCAACACCAATGGGTAGGATCTGGTTCCACATCTGAGCCAGAAGGGAGGTGGGATGGTTTCAGAGAAGGAAGAGAAAAGATAAAAGGGTAAATTTCAGGAACTTTAGCTCAGAAGTGCAAATAATCAAGTTTCATCTCATTTATTTCATCTCAATTATTCCAAATAATTGTGACACCTCCACATAATTAACATGACAGTGAGTACACCAGTGATCAGATCACATTCTCTGATCTGTGTGACTCACAACTGTTAAATGCAGTTGGCCTACATTTCTATGCCACCTCTTTTCTAAAACATCAAGGTAACCAAAGGATGATCTAATCTAAAACCTCTTCTTTTGTATACGTATATGCTTAAATGGATATCTATGAATATACATACATGCATACATGTGTGTATAGGCATAAATAGATACTATATATATATATATATATGTATATATATATATATATATATATGCTTGTTTGTATATCCTTATCATGGGGTGATAGAGACCTGAGCCAAGAGTGAAAAAGATTTGGGATTTTGGTTAGAGTGTGCCAAAAGGAGACATTAATTCTGTAGGAGACATTAACCAGACCATGTGTTTGCTTATTGTTGAAAGATGTTGAAAGATGTTAGACTAGATGATCTTTTTTGATTCTTTTTCACCCTAAAACTCTAAATATCTACCTGGAAGTCAGAGCTCCAACTTAGCTTTCCTTAACAGGAATTGTTTCTTCTAGATTCTAATTCTGGACAGAATTTATCTTTAGTCTTTCATTTTTTTTTCCCCTATCAGTACAATACAGAAATGAAGGAAGGTATCAAAACAAAGATACTGCAGGGGTGCCTGGGTGGCTCAGTCAGTTGAGCATACAACTCTTGATTTTGGCTCAGGTCATGTTCCCGGGGTAGTGGGATCGAGCCCCACATTGGGCTCCATGCTGAGCTTGGAGCCTGATTGGGATTCTCTCTCTCTCCACTTGCATGCTCTCACTCTCTCTCTAAAATAAAAAAACAAACAAACAACCAAACAAATAAACAAACAAAACCAAAAATACTGCAGTATAGAAAGATTTTGCCAAATAACTCCAGACTTTTGAGTCCATGACTTACTGGTATCCAAGAACTACATCTTTGTCATATAATAAATATTTGCACCATAGTAGAGGCCATATGGGGGAATAAGGAAGATGCAGAAATTGGGAGTATGGACATTCTGGATTTAGTTCTGGATTTTTTTTCTAAGTCAACAAATATATACTGAACATCTTCTAAATGTTAAATAACAAGATATAAGTATTCTCTGCAAGTCTAGTAGAGGAGATATATTGAACATGTAATTATACCAATAATAATGAGCTACAGATACATTAAGTTATTTGAAGATACAGTTGGAAGATACAGGGATTCAAAAAGGGGGCTTGCTGTAGAGGAAAGGGGGCCCTTGGAAACTAGCTTTGTGGTCTAATTCATCACTTTACAGTCTAGGTCCAAAGCTCCTCACATAACAAGGAACTTCTCATTCTAACATACAGTGGAGATCCTGACACAGAATCTAAAACCATGTTCCATGTTCTGACCTGAACTGATTTCAGATATGCTTGGATCCCCTACGAGTTTGTAAGTTCCTTGAAGAGTTTTCTTTTCCCCTTTTTAGAATACTTTATACAGTAAATGTTTATTAAGCCAGGCATTATATGATTTAGATTACAGATAAAAAAATCACAGTCCCTGCTCTTACGTGGCCATGGTCATACTGGGGAAAAAAGCAAATGGGAAATTTCAAATCAAGTAGTTGGTATGGTGAGAGCAGTGTTCATAGGGTGCTGGAGTTGCCAAGAGTAGAGGCATCAAAGCTGGTCTTCAGTGGATGTTCTGGAAGATGGTTCCCTAAAGAACAAAAAGGAGGTAGCAAGTGAAGAAGGTAAAGGGTGTTGGTGCAGATGTTCTGGTAATATATAATAAGACAAGGTCATAGGAGTTAGCGAGCTCTTTCCTGGAAAGGGAGGTCTAAACTCAGGTGGCTGAATGGACAGTTATAGGAGATGGTGACATAGACAGGGACCAGAATTTGAAGATTAAAGAGTTGGGACTATACATTGTAGGGAGCTATTATAAAATATTTTTTAAAGAGGGACAAAACATTATTACTCTCTTGGATCTGCAGTGGCTGGAACAGAAAACAGTAAGAGGATAAATTGTGTGAAGAATGGATCAGAAGAGGGTTAAGGTTGGGGCCTAGAAATCAGGTAGAAGCCTCCTGCAGGAGGAGTCTGGGTGAAAGATGCCAAGTGAACTAAGGATTGTAGCCACAGAGATAAAAAGATGAAGGCACAGAATCAGAAGTGTAAAAGTTGGGATCAAGTGGACTTAGACCAGAAGCAGGGACCGTAAGAATAAGAAAGAAGTGTCTGATGATTCTCAGATTTCTAACTCAGCAACTGGTAGGTGGGAGTTTCAATACCTGAGCTGGAAGTTAAAAGAGGAGGATCAGGTTGGGGCTATGGGGAAATATTAGTGCTATTATGACTGAGGTTCCTATGGAACATCTATGTGGAAATATCTAGACAGAAGCCAGATAGATGAACCTGGAACACAGGAAAGGAGTATGGCCAGAGGATGTCAGTTTTTAAAAAGACAGTGATAAACATTTCAAATAACTTTGCATATGTCTTATTGATAGGAATACTTCTTCATGACAAAAAGCACAAAATCCAATCTGTGAAAGCCTGTAATATATTTTTAATATTTAGTAGATGAAAGAATGAATGGGTGAATAAGAATTGTTATAATAGCAAAGAGTTCCTGTCAAATTATTATAGTTTGTGTATTTGGGTGTATAGTGTGTGCACGTGTGAATATATATGTATTGATGTATGTATAACTATGTAGTTACGTATGCACACATACACATTCATATCAAGATTAGCAATAAATTAATACTGTGCATCTGTATTAGTCAGCTAGGGCTGCCATAACAAAAAGGACTGGTTGCCTTAAGCAACAGAAATTTACTTTCTCACAGTTTTGAAGTCTGAAAGTCCAAGATCAAGCTGCCCTCAAGGTGAGTTTTTGGTGAGCCCTCTCCTCCTGGCTTGTAGACTGCACCTTCGCACTGGGTTTCACAAGTCCTTTCCTCTGTGCCAGTGCAGAAAGCAATCCCTGGTGTCCCTTCCTTTTCTTATAAAGACACCAGTTAGTAATCTTAATTACCTCCTGATAGGCCCTGTCTCCAAACATAGTCACAATGAGCGTTAGACTTCATTGAATTTTGGGGGGACACGATTCAGTCCATAACAACATCAGTGCATTTGACGTCCACATCAATTTTTTTCTCAGAGAAAGGGTAGTCTCTGGGAAAACAAAGAAACTGTTCTGTGTCATGAAAGAGGATACCTATATTTAAAGGGAGAGATATGCTTGGTTAAGGTCAAAAAGTTTACTGATTTGTAAATAATTATAATTATTTTCCACTTTACTTGGTTATGTCAAAATACAATCATATTCCTACAGATTTTTTTTTTCTTTTTCATTTTGGAGAGGATTATAAGCTACTTGCAAGTAGATAAACCTGTCATAGCTGAATGGGTTTAATTGGTTGTTATTGCCTATTGCTCTATGGAAACCAGGCAGGAAAAGCCACAAAAGGTTGACGTCCCACAAGAATGTCATACCATGAAGGTGTAAACTTAAAGCGGAGATCACTTGTAGAAAACTGTGTTGCATTCTTGGCATGTGTGCATTTGGCAATAAAGTTAACTTTCACTTACTGTTAGATTTAATGGAGGGGCTAATGCCAGTTTATTTTGCGCCTGTTCTGTTTTACCTCTTTGCACACTTGGCCTTCGTTTAGCTCTGGCCCCGTGTTGCTGCTCCCCCTAAATGCTCCCCCGGGGGTGGGAAGACCCCGCCCTGACAGCCAGGTAACAGAGACAGGGTGGGAAGCCCGAGCTCTGAGGGCGCGGAGCCTCACGCATACCGTTCCCCTCCCACCATCATCCCGCTGCTGGGAGGCGGAGAGGGCTTCAAACTTAGCTCCAATCCGCAGCCGGCCTTCCCCGGGGTCCCCTGCTGGGCGACCCGCCCGCAGCGGACCCAGTTGGAAGAACTTTGCGGAGCTCGGCGTCAGAGCCTGGAGCGGCGAAGTGCTCTCCCTCCTCCCCAGCGGCCCCCTCCCTCTGCCCCCGCCTCCCGGTCCTCGCCCAGGCTCGAGCTCCGGTGATAGGACGAGCTCCGGGCGTGCATTGTGTATATGCAAACCAGAGTCCCGGCTCCCCGGGGCTGCCCTACCCCGCCGGGGCTGAGGCTGCGGCTGGAGCTGCGGTGGGTGCTGCTGTCCTCGCCGGAGCCCGGCGCTGTCATGCCCCCGCCGCGCGGCGGGCCGCTGAGTCCCGGAGCCGCTGTATAAGCGCAGGCAAGGGGACATTCGGAGGGGCTGAAGATGAAGGTGCCCGCGCATGGGCCCCCACTGATTGCCAACCCCTCCCGAGCCCGCGCCCAGCGCGGAGCCCGCGGCCGCCCAGGACCCGCCTTCGCCGCAGTAGCAGCTGGAGCAGCGACAGAGGAGGCAGCTACGGCGGTGGCGGCGGCGCCCGTCGCCGGAGCGCGTAGATCGGCGGCGGCAGCTCGGGGGCCGCCGCTGCCCCGGCTGCCATGAGTTGTGCGGAGGTGATGTATCACCCCCAGCCGTATGGAGCGCCCCAGTATCTGCCCAACCCTGTGGCAGCTGCAACCTGCCCCACAGCCTACTACCACCCGGCGCCCCAACCTGGCCAGCAGGTGAGTCACCGACCGGGCAGCCCGCCGGGGGCGGGGGCGGGGGCGAGGGGCACCGAGAGTATCTGTCTGGGACTGGGGCGACGTCCCGCCGGGACGGGTGGCGCGGAGGATGCTCTGGGACCTGCGGGAGCGCCCTTGAGCCGAAAGCCATTAGTAGGGAAGAGGAGAGGCTTCGGGAAGGGACGAGCACAGCAGCCTGGTGGACGGGTGGGGATTCATTACCTGGCTGGGGGCTTCATTGGCTGTTGTCGCCGGAGCTCAGAGGCTGGTCCTCATAGGCACCTTAGCTCTTTGGGCTCAGTTTTCTGAAACTCACCAAGGGCATCTGTCTTAGGAGTATGTGAGTAAACTTCCTTTAAATCAAATATCTTGTTTCCTTTGGAAAGGTGGAGTGTTTCAGGGTTTTGTGGATTAAGAGGATGAAATGTGTCACTGACATAGGGGAGGCTACCTGGACAGTGAGCTCATGGAATGACCTTTCTGGAACTTTTATGGTGGAATATCGATCTCGTGTAACGCCTGTCAAATGTTACTAGAATTTCTCTGTAGAGTCTGTCTTCTCATGACTGTGACTTAGAGGGCAGGAATTGATCCCAAAGTTCCTCATTCATTTAATTCTATCAAAGTGCAGAGGTGTTATAGTTCAGTCCGCTGGGAGTGTGTCGGTCTTCAAGAAGTAACTTTGGATCTCGGGATGTTGGATCTTCACCATGCTGGTGAGAGTGACTGAGAATGCTGTGGCTAAAAAGGATTCTAGAACCAGGGAGATGATATAGTTCCTTTAGAAGGGAGGATAGGGTGTGGAGAATTTGGCACTAGGTACCCCTGGACATTCCTCTCTGGATACCAACAGAGTGTGTGTCAAGACTTAGTGCTACAGAGAACACATATGTGAGTATGTGGCACTAGCTTGTACCAAAGTAGATTCCTCAGACTTTGGGAATTGGGGGGGGGGGGGGGGGGGGGGGGTTGATTTGGTGAGATTTAAAAAAATACAATTTACACACTCTGAGGTGGAGACACTTATCAGGGAACTAGATATGGTTTGGAGATTACCATCCACAGAATTTATTGATTGGGTTTTTTAAATTTCTTTGGAACCGTATGTTTTATTATGGTCTTAAGGGTTTGGCTCTTTAATTTATTATTATTGATATAGTTAGGTAATATTTTAATTTCTGTATTCCCTTTACGTCTGTTTCTTTGCTATACTTGTAGTGCTACTCTTTGGAAAGAAATCATAATTTCTGCTTAGAATTTAGGGGCTGTAAAATTCAGCTGATTCTGGAACAGGGTACGTGCTAAACAATATTTACCTAGTAAACAATATAAGGTTAACAGGGCCAAGTAGGGCAAGAGAGGAAGGAGCCCCACTTTCTTGCTGTCTTTTTTTTTTTTTTAATATTCAGCAGCTTCAGCATTGAAAGCAAGATATAAAGAGGAGATGGGAAAGCATTTTGTAATTTATGGTCAAGGGTGATGGGTTGAAAACATTTTGGCTATGCTGTTTGCTTTTCTTTGGGTTTAAATAGAAAAGACATAGGTAACCACTTAGGTACACATTAGGCAAGCGAGGCACAGAGATGCTGGATATGTTTTATGTGTTTTATAAACACTCAGTCCAAGCTAAACCAACCTATTTCCTCCTCTCCTTTCTTCCATCTTGGAGACTGTAGAACCTTTCAATTGTCAGTTGGAATGTGGACAAGCAACAGACTCAAAATTACTAACCATACAAAAAATGTATTTTCCCCTTAAAAAATAACTTGAGCTATAGAAGTTATGAATAGGGTTTTGTTTTATAGAATTATGAAAATAATTTCATTAATATATGAATATGTGGTGGAGCTTAGGATTGTGAGACTCTTGAACTAGAAAATAAAATTCAGCATCAGAAAAATTCTAAGTTACTCATCATAAAATACAGTTTTTGGTAAGAAGTAACTCCAGTACTCTCACTTTTGCAATAGCGCTACAACTCAATCCCCAAATTTCATTCTTTTGCTAAGACCATCAACAAAATGAAGAATGAGCTTTCTTTTTTGCCTGAGTAGTCCACATTGATTAGTCGCACATATTATTAAGTATCAACTTTACTATACATTAGGGTTCTGTGGCTATCATTCAAGTAGATAATTAGGCTAAGTTGACTTTAAGAACTAAGTTGAAAGGTGTGCTTGGAAATTTTCATGTCACTCTTACTAAAATGACTTGTTCGAGGTTACTTTTTGTTGTTGTTAAGTAAAGAAACTATTTGACTATAACTGACTAGCAAAATGAAGAGACTTGATAGTCTAACTACTGTTCTTTTACTGTCAGGAGTTTATTTTGATGACCTATATTTTCTATTGGAAAAAAGAGCAAATCAGGAAATTCTTATCAGGCTGACAGCATTTTTAGACTATGTGGTGCGTGGGTGAAGTGGGACTAATATTGACTTGGCCCTAATGCAGTCATCCGAGAATACATATTTTCGTTGTTTTTGCATTCCATAAGGTTTTATCATTATTATCCATGAAGATTGTTTTCTCCGTACATGGGAAGTGACCCCTAATAGCATCTTGCCTTGGAGACAAAAATAAGGGCTACAACTCCTACTGCATTTGAAAAATTGATTTGTTAAGCAGAAAAAAGAAAAGCCGAAAAAGTGATAGAGTTATAAAGAAAGTTGAATGGTCATTTATAAAATGTTAGAAGAGAAAGCATTTAAATTTTGTATTACTTCTGTAATTGATTCTAATAGTGTAACTTTGAATTTATTTTTTCTCAAAACTGTGTAGCTCAGAAGTCCTTGTAAATTAATATATCATAATGGTTTATTATGATGGATTTCATATATAGGTATATTTTTTCCTCTTAGTGTATAATCATGTAGCCGAAAATTAGTTTTGAAGTAACAGGATATCATACTACAGGCATGTATACTCTGCTTTTCTCATAAAAGCACAAACATGCACCTGAAATTTTAAGTTCAGATTTTTTGTCAAGCATGTCATGCATTGTAGGTGGGTAATAGGTTAATGTCTTAAAAACATAGTTGCCTGCATTCACATCAGGCTGCACTATGATATGTTAGTTAGGCATACAGTAGGCTACATGAATTAAAATAATTTGTAAATATGTGTGCAGAGTAAATTTTGTAGTGCCTGACATAAATTACTAGAAATTGCATGGCTGTTAGTAAATCTCATAGTGTGCTTTATCCAGCCAGGAATTGCTGAGAGATGCCAAGCTCCCTGGTCCTCATGCCCACCATCTCTTTAACATCTCCTCAAGGGAACTCTTGACTCAGTCTCTCAGCACATACTCCAAAGGCATGATGACGCTGCAGAACATGTACAGAAAGGAATGTGCTTGTATTCTAACAGTGACAGTAGGAACTAAGACAAAAAATTTCCAAATATGTGTCAGGAAAAATTGAGGGAAGTGATATGAAATCATAGATTCCCTTCATACCCAGTGGATGTCGCATCTTAAATGTAGACAGTCTGTTACTGTCTAAATCTGCCCCCTACCCCATTTATTTATAATGTGTACATTAGAAAGATACTTAAAGCTTTCAGAAATGTGTAGTTTATAGATGAGGTGATGAAAGCAGAAAAAAGTCGTCGCCATTTTCTTAATTGTGTGTAGGAGTTTTTAACAATTACACTTTGAGCTTCATATAAGTTCGAGCATATTTACTCCGTCCTCTTCAAGGGTGACAGCTGGGGGAATCTGCATGCATGCTTTCACTTAAAAGAATTAAATGCTCTTAGGAGGCAGAAGTCCAGTTATAAGTTTATGAGGAGTTTTTTTTTTTTTTTTTCAAACTATTTCTCTGGACTTTGCTACCTTGCTTAGGTCATAAAAACCCCTCAAAGATTCTTTTTGTCAGAAGACACCCTGAAAAAACCATATGTGATCCGCGCATACCGTGAATGTATCTGTTAATAGGGTTGAAATGCCTAGCTAAAATTAAAACATTAAAATTCTGAGACCACAGAATGCCTCAACACAACATCTTTCCACCCACGTAATCCCGTCTCCTAGGCTCTTCTTTTCATTCTTTTTTTTTTTTTTTTTTTTTTTTTTGCCATTGCACAATAGGCTTATTTTTGTCTTTACTGCTCCAAATCAACTTTTTGATAAAGAAGATTAATATGCAGTAGATTCTTTGGCCTTGGAATTTAAAATTCTTTCCAAGTCCTTGGTAGTGTACTTTTTTAGTTTAGGCATTCCAAAGTCCTTTTGAAAGCATTTGTATTATGCTAATGACTTTTGCTATCCATTCTGCATCCTTTGTTGATGGGGCAGAATATCCACTTAGTAAATGAACGTTTATTTATTTTAAAATAATCTTCAGGAAGTGGTATTAGCAGTCAGCTTTAAGTGCCTCATATATTACTGTTATTCCAACATAAGTTTAGATTCATTAAAAGGAAAGAATACGATTATATCCTAAATAGTTTCAATACACAGCCAACTTATTTAAGGTGGAGGATCCAATTTTCTTGCAACTGTAAGCAAGGACTTAAGTGGATTTGTAAGAATTCATACAGGACTTATTTGAGAAAGAACAGTCCCTATAATTCCACCCTACACAAATTAACTTGCCTGCAGAGACTTAGAAGCTTAAAGTGCCCCATGGTTTTATGCTCCCAATAACTTTCCGCCAGAAAATTCAAAGCTAGAGAAAAAAAATTAAACTTTAAAATAACCAAACTTAACTGTTGTCTCTGGCAGTCAACCAGAATAGAGATTACAATAACGATAGTAAAGGAAGGCTTGGAATCCGTAAAATCGCGTGTGGTGAAGATATGTTCACCAGGAAACCAAATGCCAGGATGAGATGACATTCTTTGGAAAGGAAAGGGTATTTTGGATAGATGCAAGGAAGTCCTGCTTCACCTAACACTTAACGTCCCCCATCTCACAAAGCTGGGGATGGCAGGGACATGAGCCATGCCAAAGTAAATGAGGGTGTTCACAAGGTAAAACCTTGCTATCCTCAGTGTCAC